CACTTGCTCTGCCCTGGTCTCCTAGTCTTAGGCTTATGAAGCTAATAGGGAAGCAAGTAGTAGGAGAAGCTGGAAATGTGGCCTGAAGAACAGAAGCTAGCAGAAGTAGAGGAGATATCCCAGAGGAGAAATCAGATTCTGGTTCAGATTGCCAGCAGTTGCCTTGAGGAGGAGATAGACTACCCATGGGCTGTCCTGAATCCTTAGGCCCCATGACTGATTAGACAATGACCCTCTGGGAGGTTTGGCCATGAGTGACCTTGAGGGATGCCTACTAGCTCCTTATGAAAGAGCCTGAAGGGGAGGTTTGAATGAATGAAATTTTTTTTTATTTAAAAAGCACTTATTAAACATTTATTGTGTATTAGGCACTAAAGTCTAGCAATACAGAGCACAAGAAGACAGTCCCTATTCTCAAAGAGCTCATGCTCTACTTGAGTAAGACTACACTTACTGATTTGGGGGTTTCTGTAGTAAGGCAGGTAGCAAGGCCCAGATATCTTTGGGGTTCATTGGGTTACCAATTCACCACGATTGGGAAAGAAAGAGTGGGATGGAGAGTCAGAGTCATCCATGGAATTCTGGGTTCCCTCTGGCAGGAGTTAAGTTAGGGGTGGTGGTGTCAGTGTGCAGAAGTGAGGAGAAAGGGGGAAGGGGACATTGGTGGGAAGGAGGAATGGGGTCATGGTGGTGTGGAGCAGGGGAGGAGTTGGAGGAACTTTGAATCTAAGTGGTGTCTTTTTTAACTCCTATATTTCGTACTCAGGTATAGCATAAAAAATTTAGGACTTACTGGTTCTAGGAAGAGCCACAGACACATTGCCCATCTGGCAGTTGTTTTAACATAATCATTTTTGCCTTTTTCTTATATGATTATCACTAATAAACTGTATACAGTTATGCTGTGCTTTGGCGATTGAATTTCATTGAAAACCAGCAGTGAAAGGAAGAGGGTGGAATTTTCGTCTAATGTGTAGGGGAAATAGAAACCATGCTAGATGAGACTACAAAGAAACCAGCTATCTTAAAGTTTGTCATAGCCCTGTGTTCCCCCCGGTGTTGGGTAGGGTACTAACCTCTGGGGTTAGTAAAGGTTTGCTGGCTCATCAAATAGAAGCAAGTATTTGGACGACAGCACCCTCTTGTGGTTAAATGGAAAATATGGCTCTCAGCTTTTCCTATGGGTTCTTTCCAGTCATCCAGAATGATTCTAAGGGCTCACTGCTGGTCCACTGACTCTTGGTCACACTCAGCCTTCCATCTCTCTCACTGGCACTCTTGTCCTTGACATTCCATTGGTCCTGTTCCCCTCCTTCCCCTTCCCTTCCCTTATCCTCTCTCCCTTCCCCTCTCCTTATCCCCCTTCCTCCCTCCTATTCTCCTCTCTCTCCCCCCACCCCTCCCCCATCTGTCTGTCCGTCTCTCACATGCAAACACTCTGGGGCCAGTCACCGACACCACTCCAGGTACAATCACCAAGTGCCAAGAGAACACCTTGATGTCCTTTTAGCTGGGAGAGTAATTCATTTTTCTAAGCCCTCTTTGCCTTCCCTGCACAGTTGTCTGCTAATGTAAGCACTTCATCACTTGCTATGAATTAGGCTCAGAAAAAACAAAACAAAACTCTGGATCCAATGATTTCTCTCCGAGGGCCCCTTTTTTCCATATGGAAACTACAAGGAATTATCCCGTTCAGATATTCCATCTATTAGCTCTCTGCCATCACTGCTCATTGGTGGTGTGGGTGATCCTCACAGGAATGTGAAGAATCTGGCATCTACCCACTCTGGCCACAGCTAGCCAGGCAAAGGACACCTGCCTCTGGCTGGCTCTGGAATCCCCCTTCTTCATGCATTCTCACTTGAAGACTCACTCTTGGAACACAGAATCTTGTTCTGGGCTCTCCTCTCATTTACTTTTCTTTTCATTCACTCTAAACAATGGCCCTCACTCACCATCATAGGGCCATAGATTTAAATCTGAAAGAGACTGTTAAGATCATCTAGACCAAACCCCTCATTTTACAGATGAAGGAACTGAAGCCCAGAGAGGATGAGTGACTCAAAGTCACAACCACAGATGCAGGATTCAAACCCAGGTCCTCTAACTCCAAATCCAGTGCTTTTCACTCCCTCATCCTGTGACTCCTCATACCCATCTACACTTGATATCTGCATGGGATTGATAACTCTTCCCTCCTCCCAATCCATTTCCATAGTTTGGGAATTAACAACTGCATATAGCTGGGAAAAATGTATTTTTTTTCATCAACAGATATGGAAGTGAGCAGTGGGAGAGGAGGGGTGTTCTGAAGGCTTTCTGGGGCCAGGTTTAGGGCTGGAGGCCTGCTTACCTCACCTTGGATAAGTTGACCCCCAGCTCCCTTCTTGTGTCAATGTGACTTTGAAACCCTTCCTCCTCTAACCAGGAGAGCTTTGTAGCTCTGGAGTGGCCTGCTGAGTGCTGGGTTGAGACAAGAGAAAATGTGCTGCAGGGTCACTTCTTTTGAAAGAGCCTGGGGAGAAAGGTTTGTTTTTTTCCTTCATTTTTTTTTTTTTTGGTGAACTTTGAGGTGAATAATTTCTTCATCTGTAAATTAAGGATAATAATACTGGTATAGCAGAACCCAGTACCTTCATCTCATGTGGGCTCTGTACTTCCAAGTATTTAGTGGGTCAGCATCCGCTCAAAGCAACAGCTTGGTAGCTTCCCTGATGCAATTGCTTTTATAAGGGCAAAGGACACATTAATTCCAAGCTCAAGGCATTTTATCAGAAAGCATAGCTATAAAATCAGTGACAGGAAAGGGCTCCTCTATAGGCACAAAAGGAGGCATACTTTCCCACCTGTCGGTAGGGAAGCCACATATAGAGAGAATACATGTGAACCTGGACAAGTGACTTAAATGGTGTCTGCCTCAGTTTCCTCATCTGTACAATGGGTTGTTGTGGGGATCAAATGAGACAATAATTGTAAAGCACTTAGCACAGTGCTTGACACAGAAGTAAGTGCTATACAATTGTCAACTATTATTACTATTATTATTATTACCAAGAAATAGGTATGGAGAGCATACATGTAGTGCACATGTGAGTAAGGAAAACCCATGGAAGACACACATGTAGTCAAATAGGTGACAAAGGAATATATGCAAATGGGCACTCATGCCAGGAACATGTGCAGTGAGGGCAAGAAAAGAGAGAACCTGTATGACAAGGAAGTATGCCTTGGTATCCCATTGTCTCTCTGGGAAACACATCTCCACTCTCTTATGACTGCTGAACTGCCCTCTGCTACCATCTGCTCATCTGCAGCTATTCAGCCTTTCAGGGCCACCTGCTGGGGCCCAGTGGTAGTAAAATCCCTTCCTGCAGAGTCGATCTAAAACCTTTTCAGTGAATAGCCCAGGCTTTGAGCGCCCCCCCCCCCCACAATGAGTCCTCCCAACTAAAAGTCAGCAGTTTAATACTCATAATATTCTTTTCACTGATTTTCTCTTGGTGCCCCCTAGAAGTACTTGGCCTCAGTCTACTATCTCCTCTGGGATTATAAAATCCCCTTTTAACTCCTATTAAAGCCCTATTTGTCTTTCTAAATTCCCAAATCCATTTTGAGGACTCCTATCCAACAAAAACTCTGCTGGAGCTATGGAGAGGTGAAGGCAAAGGAGCCTAGTTCTGGGTTCCCATAATGCTCCCCAACTAGCAATATGAACAAGTTTGGGGTAGGAAAAGAGGGAAGAAGTGAAGCTGGCAGGGATGCTGGCCTCCTCTTTATCCCTCTCTTTATTATACATGTCTGCCAGTAACCAAATGGCTGTGTCTTATGATGTGGTCCATCCTCTATAGACATCACTGGTCTATCTACCCCACGAGAGTACCTCCTCTGCAAGTTGTTGGAGGATGGAGTCAGATAGTGAATGCATGTGAATTTCTTGCTAAATCACAAGTGTATAGAAATGTCAACTGTGAGGATTATTTTTGAGGTATTTGATGAGGTAATGATCTATTTTTGAGGTAATGGGAACCTTGCATTTTCCTGTCTGGCATTTTCCAGTTTTTCTTCGATTGGGGGAAAGGGACAAATCTCATTAGTTAAGTGGTTATAGTGTGATATGGGTAGAGTGTCAAGAATCCTTGGAAATGACAGCTCCCATGATCATTCATATCAATGAGGCATAAAAGAGGGGGGGGCATGTGAACACCAAAGGTGTTCGACACTGCTATGAAGGAGCTCCAGGCCAGAGGCCAAATCAAGGTGCAAATCCAAATAGATGGTGAGGTCCAACAGGTCCAACTGCTGTTGGTGAGTAACATTGCATTGTCTGCATTAAACATAAGATCTGTACTCAGTCTGAAGAGTCTAGCCTAACTATCCAAACAGGAAAAACTAAATGAATGGCAAATGCCCATTGTCTGGACTATGAAATGCGGTTGAATGGACAAACTATGGCTCCCATGGAACTTGAATGTGGAAAAAAATACATTTTTATTTTCTTTTTTAAGAAATTTATTTATTTAGTATTTTATTTTTCCCCAGTTACATGGAGTGGATTGCTTGGGGGCATTCCCTAATGCCTCACAACAACCTTTGGAGGTAAATTCTATTATTACCCCCATTTTGCAGTTGAGTAAATTGCCCAGAGTCATACAGCTAGTAAATGTGTGAGGCTGGATTTGAACTCAGGTCTTCCTGACTCCAAACCTAGCGCTTTATCCACTGTGCTATCTTGTGCCTCTAGGGTTTGGACTAGGTGATCTCTAAAAAATCTCTCAGCTCTAATTCTTCTGACTATGCTCCCCAGAAGCATCCAGACTCCACCCAACCCCAGAGCACAAATGTTACCCCCTCTAAGTTTCTACTGTGCTCCAGAGCCTGGTTTATAGGCCTGTAGTTTCATGGGTAAAGACCCTGTGTCCCTATTCTATACCCAGGTCCCAGACCCATCCTCTCCTCTGTTTTAGCCAGCTGCCACCGTCCACTGTCTATTCTCTTTCCAGTGGCTCTGCCCCCTCCCTACACCCTGAGAAAGGTTCAAGTTCTTGTGATGGATGCTCTTACCTGTGATCAGGAATATCACGTTGATAGCACAACTGACTCATCTGAGAGAATAATCCAGGATGACATGTTGTGTGCTGGATCATCTGGCAAAGACTCCTGTCGGGTGAGAGGCCCTATATGTTTCCTCTCTGTTATTCTTCCCCTTGAGCCATATTGGGCTCAGGAGTTCTCTTCTTTTGGGAACTCTCTGCTCCTAAGACCACACGAGCAGCCTCTCTCTTGTCTTTCAGGGTGATCCTGGTGGACCCTTGGTCTGTAAAGTCCAGGACTTCTGGATCCAGGATGGGGTGGTAAGTTGGGGAGAGGGTTGTGGTGCTCCCCACAGGCCCGGGGTCTACACTCTCATCACAGCCTTTGTGGATTGGATCCAATCATATATAAAGTGATTTCCTGGCTTGTTTCCTCCTACCATTCCTTGGTCCCAGCAACAGCTCTGGTCATAACCCTAACTCTCATTTCTGATGGGAAAACAATCAAACTGTATTCCGTACTCTTCCCCATATCAATGGATCTATGAATTTCAGACTTCTCAAAATACTTCCTTACCTGAGACATCTTTTCCTCTTCTGCCGTCTTTGGTGCCCAACAGGCTGTACAACATGGAACTAAGAGCCTAGCACCAGAAGACCGCCTGCGTTCTAGTTCCTTGCTCTTCTCCAGAGGCAGCTAGGTGGTAGAGTGGGTCGAGTGGCGAGTCTGGAGTCAGGAAGATCAGAGTTCAAATTTGGCCTCAGAGACTTACGAACTGTGTGACCCTGGGCAAGTCACTTAACCTCTGTTTGCGTCAGTTTCCGCAATTGTAAAATGAAGATCATAACAGCACCAACCTCACAAGGTTGTCGTGAGGATCAAATGAGAGAATATTTGTAAAGCTCTTGGTTCCGTGCCTGGTGCATAGTAGGTACTATATAACTGCTTATTTTCTTCCTTTCTTCCCTTCTTCCACTGATTCCCTGTGTGACCTTGAGCATGTTCTCTCCTCTCTGTGAGCTCCAGTTTCCCTTTCTGTAAAAGGACCAGGGGCTTGAACTCATCTGGCTCGTAGTGGCTCATAGTGATCATAGTGGATAAGTTTTGGACAAATTGCCTTTTTGTCAGGATTTTACTTAAAATTTTAAAACTGTCATTCATTTATCTGTATTTATCTGTAGTTCTCTTTCTTTGATTTATCCTTCCCTGTTTTTGGTATTACAACTATATTTGTCTCATAAAAGGTGTTTGATATTCTAGGTCAAGCCAAAGCTAGACCAATGCAGTAATTCAGGCTCAGGGGTTAAACTGAGATAAGGCATTCACAAAACATAAACTATTAAAAATAACTTTACTCTGGGACAATTAAGAGGCAACTTCAAGGTTTAAAGGACAAAAAAGTTATTCCCTTCCAAGTCTATAATCACCAGGCATTCAAGAAATTCAGAGGAATGTCCCGACAGGAAGAAAGAGTTTAGAAACCAGATACCTTGGCCAATTTTTGCAAGCAGCAAAAACTCAGTGTTCTCTGATCTAATTCCTTGCTCCCTCTGCACTTCTGTTATTGTTGGTCAGTCATTTTTCAGTGCTATCCAATGCTTTGTGACCCCATTTGGTGTTTTCTTGGGAAAGATGCTAGAGTGGTTTTCCATTTCTCTCTCCAGTGCATTTTACAGGAGAGGAAATTGAGACCAACAAGGTTAAGTGCCTTTCTCAGGGTCACACAGCTAGTAGGTGTCTCAGACCAGATTTGAACGCATGAAGATGAATCTTCCTGACTCTAGGCCTGGTGTTCTATCCATTTCACCACCTAGCTACCTCTGGAGTCAGGAAGACCTGAGTTCGAATCCAGCCTCAGACACTTACTAGCTGTGTGACCCTGGGCAAATCACTTAACCCTGTTTGCCCCAATTTACTCACCCAGAGAAGGAAATGGCAAACCACTCCAGTATCTTTGCCAGGAAAACCCCAAATGGGGTCACAAAGAATCAGACCTGATTGAAGTGACTGAACAACAACACTCTACTAGTTTAGTAATACTGTTGAAGAAGGAAATGAGTTTAATGTCACCTGTTCTTGATGAAGACAAACTAGGTCTTTATAATCAGTGATTTCTTTTCAGTGTGTTCTCTAGCCATCTCTTTAATGATCCATTCTAGGATCTTCCCAGAAATCAAAGTCAGTCTCCCTGGCCTATGGTCTTCAGACCTAATTCTCATGCCTTTTTTGAAAATTAGAACAACATTTGTGTTTGCCCTTCCCATTTTTCATGATTTTTCAAAAATCTAGGCAGTGGCTCAGCAATCACAACCACTAGTTGTTTAAGGATCCAAAGATGAAGTTCATCTGATTCAGGAGACTTGGCCATGAAAGCATTACATTATGATTTTGGATATTTAGTCAAAAGAGAACACCCGAGCTAGTTAATCACGCAGATTTAATTAGTAAGAAGCAGACTCTACTGGCCAAAGATGATGGCAGACGTCTTTAAGAAGTAAGAGACTTTTCTCCATTGTGTTTGAAGGAAGGTGCTTTCAACTGGTAGCACTTATTCTTGGACAATGTAAACTTGAGCAAGCTACTGGGGCTTGTGTGGAGACACTTTATCTCTGGAAGGAGAAAGGGAGAGTATGAGCAACCTCCTAGTGGTGAATGGCCATTTTACTTGATATGTATAAATCGTGCTTCAACAGCTTAAGGAAAAAGTAGCTGGTAACTACTTGGAAATGTCACTGTACCTAGAGGACCTCACTGTCTTTGAAAAGATTTTTGAAGGAATGTGATGAAAAACTAACGAAAGTTTTAGATTGGCTAAATGGAGCTGGCTTTAAACTATAAATGGCTAAATGCCAATTTAGCAGAGCCTCTGTCAAGAGTCATGTCATACATGGCTACTTACCATTTCAGCTTGAGAGTCAATACAGAGCCAGCAAAGATAGGAGCACTCTTCAGCTAAGAACTAAAGACTTTTCTAGAATTTTTGGCTATTATAAAAAATGTGTGCAGAATTATTATTATTATTAAGCTAACTAATACTCATTCTTGAGGATTTGTGGTTGAGAAGGACTGAAAGCAGAAGGTCCCAAAAGGTCAATCTGTCCTGATAATTGAGATAAGAAGTTTGAACAAAATTTTCAAGATTTCATTAACTATCTCATTATCTCATTCAGGCATGAGTGTTGGCTTATGCACATGCACTCAAGCCCTTTGTGTTGTGTGTTTCCGCTAGCCTAGAAGACTTGGGAGTGGTCTTATACCAAGAAAATGATAGTCATTAGAAACCTATTGCATCTGTCAACAGATGAGCTATTGACAGAGAAACCTGCTTATTCCATGAACCAAGTAGAAGTTTTTGGCTTTGAAATAACCAATCACTGATAACTTCCAAGACAATGTGTGTAGACTTCAATTTCAAGTATGTACAGACAATAATTCATTGATTTGTATGTTTTGACTAGCACTAGATGGGATTCTGCTTGTTAGAGATTGGTAGTCATGCTTAGCCAAGTGTGAGTTCAGCATGCACTATTCAATAGGAAAGACTACTGTGGATGTAGATGGCCTTTCCCAAATGCCACTTGAATTCAAAGCTATGGTAAAACCCTAGAAGGAGTGAAGATGATCTATGACATTAGAGGGATGATTGTCAAATTACAAATGAAAACCACCCATCTTGTAGGTTCCTCACATTTCAAAGGCTAACTTAGCTACTGGATCACTAAGCTGATGGGGAACTCTCCTGATCAACCAACCTTGTATAGATGAAGAAATTCAGATTCTGAGAAATACAGTGAGTGGCTTACCTAAGGTCACACAAGTAATGAAAGGCAGAGAAATAACCAGTCCTTCCCTTGTACTGGGATAACTTTTGAAGGAAGCCATAGTTTTGGTTAGACTAACTAGAATTTTGGTTCAGAAGAACCTTGACAGAAACAAATGATGATATAATACTCAAGTTCATTCTCCAATTTCAACTCAATAGTTATTTCTATTGTCCGTTGTCCTCTTTTCTTGAAGCCCTTGCCATGTTTGTCCTATTCATCTTTCGCCAAACCTCAGCCCAGGATTACTTTCACCTTCTGCCTCCTCCACACCTACTCATAAGCAGCTGAACACAGTTGGAGGGAGTCTTATAACTGTGCTGATCGGTACGTTACCCATTGGATACATTACCCATTCATGTCATCCAACTTCAACTGGACCTTTAATGTAATTGATTTCATAGCTATCTCACTCCATAGAAGAGAGTCAAACCTTTTCTTCTCTCCTCAAGCCTCCCACACCTCTCTTGGCTGATGACCTTGCCTCTTACTTTATTGAGAACATTGAGGCTTTTTAATTCAAGCTCTCTCTTTCTCCATTCTCTTCCTCTCAAATCTCCCACTCTCCACCTTTCTCTCAGCCTCTGAAAAAGATGTAGCCGTTGTCCTTGACAAGACCAGCTCCTCCACTTATACACTTAATCTCATCCCTTCCCATTTCTTTCAGCACAATATATCCTCAATTATCTCCTTCCCCTTTCTAATCTTCAACCTTTCTATCAACTAGAAAAGTTCCTTCTCTATCTTTCTATGTATTAGATTAGGTTCCTTCCTAACTGCCTTCAAATGTAATCATATCTCTTCTGTTCCTAAAATCCCTTTTCTGGACCCTATTACCCCTCCAGATACCATTCTAAATCTCTCCTTGAAAAAGCTTTCTACACTTGCGGCTTCTACTTTCTCTCACTCCTCAAACTTTTGGAATCTGGATTTTGACCGCTTCAGTCAACTGGAACAGCCCTTTCCAAAGTTACCAATAACCTCTTAGCTGCCAAATCTTTTTTCAGTCCACATCCTTTATCAACCTCTCTGCTGTATTTGTCTCTGTTGACCCCGTTTCTCCTCCTAGATACTCTCTTCTTTTGTTTTCATGATACTACTTTCCCCTGTTTTTCTTCCTCTTTGTCAACTCCTTCTTAGGCCCTTTTATAATAATAATGATAATAACAGTAATAATGATAACTACTAACATGTATGTAGCACTTACTATGTGCCAGACAGTGTGATAAGCACTTTAAAATTATTATTTCATTTGATCCTCATAACAACCCTGGGAAGTAGATGCTATTATTAGCTCCATTTTACAGATGAGGAAACTGAGTCGAGCAGAGGTTAAGTCACATAGCTATTAAGTGTTTGAGGTCAGATCTGAACTCAGGTGTTCCTGACTCCAGGCCCAGCACTCTATTCACCATATCACACTCCCTAACTACTCTATAGGTGTTTCTCAATGATGAATGGAAAAAAAATCAGCTCTCTGACCCTAGGGGAGATTTCTAGGAGTCTGGGGGGGTGCGTGGCCTGGAAAAGGCTTAATTAAGCTGATAGAAAGGACATTGAAGAAAATTCCAGGGGTGTACTGGTAAATATTTAAC